GATTTTCTGGCAAGAATGTCGGCCACGCTGTTGGACACTTATGACGTCAAAGATGATTTATATGTACAGTATGTATGCGTGAGTGCATGTGCTACAGCAATTCCTTCGCTGCAACAGTAGTACTGGTGTGACGTAATCACTTTTACCAAGAGCCCCTATAACCCCGGAACCCCTTTCCATACAATTCTATTCCTGGGGTTAAGCTGCATCACTAGTGGTTAGCTAGCACTAACCACTGAGATGCACTTAACCCCTAGCTGAAATGAGTTGTTTCGACTTTACACTTCATTTGACTATGAAATAACGTGGGGTTTTTATGGCAGGAGGCCCAAATGATTACTACGTCACAACAGTACAGTACTACTGTTGCAGCGAGGGAATTGCTGTGTGGATCCTTCATCCTTCGTAGCGGGTTTTTCTGGCAAGAATGTCGGCCATGCTGTTGGATATTTATGACGTCAATCAAAGTGTAGAATTCCCTCAAAGCAACAGTTCCACTGTTGGTTTGCCCCGAAATACTGTTTCAAGGAGGGAATTATCACATCCGGATACCGCTGTAACCTGGGCCTAATCGCCGCAAGCCACTTTGGCTGCGACAAGGAGTGCGAACGTCATGGTGGAAATGTCCAGACCTTTCCTTCATACTAAATGGTCAGCAGTTGCATTTCTTATGCTTCAAGTACCTTGGACAATCACGACACTTGGTGTCCCATAGCCTCATGCGACTGTACCTGTATAGTCCATCCACAAATGACATAGTGACAGTGATCTCGCGAGAGAACATCCGCCCCCCAAATACTTATCCGACTGCCTTGCTAGCTGGCTCTGTGTAGAACAGCCGCCAAAGATGTGATGACTTGATACAGTCGAGTCTTCCCAACAACCACACTGCGAATAAAAATGCCCTTTCCATATATCGTGTTTTCTATGGTCCGTCCACGCGATGGTGGTGTTGTTCCTTGTCCGCTCCTTGTTGCTGATGTTGTGCGATGTCGAGATATTCCTTTGCTTCTTCCAGTCGATCGAGCATGCTGAGCGAATTCGCGCACCGAGCCAGCAACGTTGCGCGGTCGCCCATGCTGCTCGCGCAAGAGCGACTCGGCCACTTCCAGTTTATCCACCGCCACAAATCCATTGCTGAGCTCACGGAGCAGGGTCGTGTTCTAGCCAAATACTCACAACGTCAAGGGATATATTATCTACGTATATATATATAATATATATAAATGTGTTTTTTTCGGGATATGTAGTATATTGATATGTACCGCCAAGTCACAGCGAAGGGCTTGCTCCAATGCTTGTTCGGCTTCGCGCAGACGAGGTGGGGTCGCTATACATATCGGGGGGAGGGTCAAAAGGAAGGCATACGAAACGGTGGTGAATCAGTCAGAACGCATACCATCAAAATCCAATCCCGGGATCAGAATACATACATGGAATCAGAATTAGATCGCAGAATCAGAGTGCATAATATCAGAATCAGATCGTGGAACATACTAGTATATGGGTGAATATGATCACTTTGCGGACACCTTCGGACAATTTCAGTCGGACATACTTGGCATTTGTATTGGACTTAAGGGGAACATATTTTGTCCGAATGAAAGTGTCCGAACGGAATATGTTCGGACATACTTGTGTATTGTATTAACCCGCATAAGAACGATCAGCTTTACAGTAGCGAGCGACGACAGAGCATCCGCCCACAAAATTGCGCGCACCGCAGCGTAGCGGAGGTCGTGTGTATAATTTTGTGCAGGCGGTACCTTGGCGAGGAGTGAGCCCCAATCGTGCACTTCACCGAATGTCCAATCGATTCCTCTTGTCGGGAAAAGCGGCAGGTAGGCCGCAGGCCGTGCCGCTACCCGGACAAGGCCTGTGGTACAACTATTCGCATTTAATACGTAAATCCAGTTAAGTGCGTGTCCGAAGCACATATCCAGCAAATATTTGTCCGAGTCGTTATGGTATGGGAACGGACTGCGCAGCGTATCAGATCGACCAAACGTGTATCACGGTTGAGACACACGAGCGCAAGGTACCCCCCACACGTCGGCGTAGGTGCGATCCAGAACATTTGCTTCCGTCAGCGCCATTTCCGCGCCTCCCCAGTCGTCTTGACGCACCGACACCACTCCTACCATCGTGTTAACGATAGTCGAGGGATATTTCAAATATATATAATTGATATATATATGTGATTTGTGTGAAATATAGTTTGAACGACGCACCAAGGCCGAAGCGACTGCAATTTCATGGCACCCGCGCAGGAAAATCGCGTTGGCCAGCCCCGTACACCGCTGAATCAAACATATGAACTTACTACTGGAAATATCACCAACTAACACAACAATCATGAACACTGAACTAAACCCTTGCGCCACGAATTAATATTAATCGGTCGACACATTCAGGCGATAACTTGGTAGGCCGTCCTAGTAGTAGCTACCAACTAAAGCACTCAAACTCAAACTAGTAGTAGCTACCAACTAAAGCACTCAAACTCAAACTTCCAGTAATAGCTAGTGTATGGTCCATTCGATTCGTGGCACCAAATCGACAGCCAATCGACCGACAAATCAAAACCCGATCAAGATTCCAGTAACCGATCAAACTCCTTCAACCATCGAACTTCCAAATTGTGCGAAGGGCTTGTTCACAAAACAATGAGTACATACAACATTCTCTCCAAAACCCCTCGTTGGCCATTTGTTCCAATCAATGTGATGATCAAAATTACCCCCTCCGCCCAAGGTTAATTGTCCGAGTTTGAGGAGTGGAGAACATGACTCATCATGATCCTATTTATAGTATATGGAAGTAACTACAAAATTGAATGTCGCGTGCCTAACGTTTAATTTCACTGTTCTGATTGGACCGCGAGATCGACGGTCTGGTCCCCCAAATCTAGTTTCGATGGCTGACACGACAATAAATACAACTGCGTATTGTCAAATCGATTCAAAACTGGAGCCCAATGCAATGCGTGTGCTGAATATCCAGTGATGTGCCGATTTATTTCATCCAATTAAATCGTTCGAGCTGTATTATTGGACGAAACAGAACCTCTCATCCCCATAATCTTGTACAGAACTACTAGTATTAATAGTAAATGTTTATGGCGGGAAATATTATTATATTGAAAAGGTTTTCGAGTTTGAATTGACATCCAAATGCCGCTTCGAACGTCGTACATCGATGACACACTTCGGCAT